GAGGAGGAGATCCATTTCAGATCACTCAACCATTGATGCGAGAGGAGCTGTGTTCGGATGATTGGACCACCTAGCAATAGACGTGAGAGCGCTGACAAGGAGCCTCTGCATCTAAGCGACGAGGACACAGCGCCCACGGTAAGCGGCTCGACGAACGCCGAGAGGTTCGCAAAGGAGGGAAGTAACACCCGAGAGGTTTGGACTGGCTGGTAGCTCTTATGAAACAAGACGTCTATGAATATTGACAGACTAGACTAGTACGCAAGTCATTGAGTCTCGATTCCAGGCAACAGGGGACTCGGAGATGTGGAGTAGTGGAAAGCTAACCAGGAGCTATAGCGAGCATAGATATAAAAGTAGTAGAATAGTAGCGCAAGGGAGCTCACGCGGACTCGGCCTATGTCTATATCTATGCGTCTGGAGCGAGTATAGGGAGAACTGCGAGCATTTGAACGCGCCATAATGACACAAAACGATAAGGCGCGCGGCCACCCTGACTCTACCACCAAACAATCTAGATATATCAGCACAAGGCACAACAAGCGCAGAGCCAAGAACGCCTTGGACCGCCCAGGCTAAAGGCCAGACGGTTACCACTTGGACGATGAAGATGACGATGCATACATGTGAGAGCATCTTTTTGGCCCATTTGGGCATTTCTCGGCCTCTGATGGATCTTCTGGCCTGGTTTCTGAAAAAGGTTTGGGGCAAGTCGGCAAATCTGTTCATCAATTGGACATTTCTTCTGCAGTGTTTGCGTCACGTTCCTGTGACTTTCTGCGAACTGTTTCTGCAACAACCAAAGACATTTCTGCTCAGCCCTGCTTTCTATTGCCCTCTCCTACTAAATGGTACTGTTCTCTGAGTTACCCAAGCTCACTTTTTGGAGGCATTTGCGCCAAATATCCACGCACTGGCATAAAGGGGCGTACCGCCAGATCTCTGTACGGAGCACACTTTTTCGACGCACTTCCACAAAAATATGACGGACTCGCAGGGACATTATGTTTGTTCATTTGGGCAATATGAGCTGTGAATGAGTACATGATTTGGCGTATGTGGGTAAAATAATGCCCTTCGACATGATAAGGGACCCACATAAATGAGTCGCTAAAATTTGATCCAGCGTTTTGTGCACCTTCCCCATAATATCCACTTTGCCCAAAATGCGCTTCTTAGATGATGTGCTCAAACAAAAACTCGTCAGTCACAGCACGCAAGTCAGGACGAAGTGCATATCGGATGGGGCCGCCCTCACACAACTTTGAAGCGACAAAAGCATCCGTGTACTCATCATTTGGATCCTCGTAGCGCATGGACATGATACTGCCGGAGCGCTCACCAATCCAGCACCCACGGAACTCCGTCTGGGCACGAGAGGCTCCCTTGCGCCTGGCACGAGTTGCTCCATACTTGCGGTTGGAATGAGTCCCAACTCCACGGCGATCATCGTCATCTCCCACCTGATCCTCCAGTCGCTTGAACTCAGTCTTCTCCCACACAACCTTCTTGATGCGCTTTGCATATTGCTGATTCAAATTGGCCGGGCCGGTCTCATCATCATTTTCTGTAAAGAGATGGACGGCATCTGGGTGTCGCTGAAGGTAAATCTCCAAGTAGTTGGCGAGGTGCATCTGGACGCAGTTCTGAAACACTGCAGAACCAAAGAGGATTTGGTCGGGACAATTGCGCATCCCACGAACATTCTTCGACCACTTTGTCTTGGTGAAAATGGCAAACGGCCACTTGTGGGAGCCATGCGGAGCATTGACTTTGAAGCGACAGGTATCATCCAGTCGGTGGATGAGATGGTACGACCAAAGAGTCATCATCACGAATTTGAAAGCATGCACGAATCCACCATGGGCAAAAAAGAGAGACAGCACCATGTCAAACTCGTCCTTGCTGTAGGGGCGCTTGTCGTTGGCTGCCACACCTTGACCGCGAACTTCAAAGGTGGCAACTCGCGAAATCAAGGTCAAAATGCTCTGGTGTCGCGTCGGATTCCCTCCACGGCCATCCATCCAAGGCACATGCTTGTTCGGCATGAAGAAACTGATGGCTTGCTTGGCTTTCTTGAGAGAGCCGGACCGGCAGTGCACAGGTCGGTGGTGAGGGAGCGGAAAGGGATCGTTGTAGGCCAAGATATTCATCCACTGTCGGACGATGGAGGGAGTGAGGACTTCCAGTTCCTCCATCGAGAACCTGGTGTCACGCTCGTACGGATTGTCTCAACGGCCGTGATGGTACGACATCAGACTAACCATGTACGCCTGGTAGACATCGTGCGTAGGGTATTCCCACTGTTCATCGTCGGCAAGTGCAGCTCCTGGCGCCATGGTCGCTAGATAGTTGGCTGGATGGTAACTGTTGGATGGATCGATCGAACGTAATAACGCAGTCAGTAGATAAACTGCATGTTCGACGAAAAATAATGAGGAAAGTGTCAACCTCTCCGACAGATCTGGTGAGTGGATCGCGGGGCTTCGGATTTGAATTAGCGTTGAGTTGGCTCGCGAACTGCGTTTTCCCCTACTTAACCATAATACGACTCGCCTGGAGCGCGGCGCATGCTTCCGGGTATCATTTTTGAACGCTCACTATTGAAAATACTGTACAAAATTTACTCGTGGATGATACCACACGTGTTACTTGCCGCGAAAAAATTTCTTCGAGAAATTTAGCGGGAATTCGATGGGTTCTATCGGAAGATCATTCCTAGGAGACAGCGAGACTTAGCAGCATGAATGTGGTTTCTTCATGTGACTTAACTACCAAACGAGACTGGGACCTGGGACTGGATGTTACTTAGGGGCACGTGACGTAACGTTATCCCAGTAACATTTGATACTTATTTCTTCCAGAAACAGTTAGTTGATGACGCGTATTTGAAGGTCTTGGGCTAGCATCCAAGCAAAAGCAGATCTCCAGATGGAATACATGCAGTAATTCATGGCTGCCGAGTAGAATTCTGCCATTGTTCTAGCTAGCTAGATAGATAGTAGCTACCGGTAGTTGACACTGACGTGCCAAGTCGGTTTCTCACTTCCTCTGACCAGCCAATTCAATTCGGATGACATCCCGCTAGCTAGCTCCAATCATCTCGTGGCAATGGATCTGAGAATGGTGCTGGTTTCCTCTCTCTGGATATCACCTCATGTAGTCGGACCGGAAGCAGAAGTTGCTTCTTTTTGCTTTGGAATTGGGTTGGTGTTCTTGTCCATATGATCCCAGCTGACCAGTCAAAACTGCTGTTGCATGATAGCTACTACGAGTAATAGAGTGAGTAGTCCTGTATAGTGATAATAGAAGCATAGAAGTGATGCTGAACCACCACGCATGTGGAAGTCAATGGTGCCACGTAGATGTGATGCTATCTCTTGAAGTGCAGCACCACTTTACTTGGGAGTTTTTACGGCTACTAGCCAGCCAGTTAGCAACTATCGATCAGGTGGCTGCAGTGAGAAGTAAGTGTGATGCACTCGTTGATGGTCAGCCAACAGCACTAACAACAGCCCTTCCAAGCTTCCTTCATCTTCCTCTCATCTCTTGAACTCTTTCATGAATTCACTACTCCCCGATGAGGGAGTTAACACTACTAGCTAGCCCAGCTCGTAGCTATTAGGTGTCCTGCCTGTGAAACCGCAACGAGAGCCAAGATGTAACTGTGGTACTGTAAGTCCTTTTACTAAGATGATGTTCTGTGACAGCTGGTTTCCGGAATCAGTGACCATCCCAATGGTACCAGCAACTTGCTACCAGCGGCTAAAACCAACAGCTACCATGCATGTGGCTCCCCATCTTCATGGCTGCTGTTGGAGTGGCGGGACAGACCGTGGTTGAACAAACAGCACTGGCTGTCTACTACCGGTAGTACCAGACTGGTAGCTTGGTCCAATGTTGCATATCGCATCAGCTTTTTGCAATAGGTGCCAGCTACATGACAAACATTGTATCCGATTGCTCGACCCCTCCCCCCAAAAGAATCATACTCACAACAGCACTATGCATACGTGTAGATGGCTACGGTACCGTTGCTAGCTACTACGTACGGTGTACGAGAGAGCACAGCAGTGCAGTTTCATCGAATTCCTGTGAACTGATCGGCGTCGACTGGCACGGGACTGATTCTCGTTTTGAGCCTAAATGCTTTAACGAATCTTTCTGTCTTATGCTGTAATAGGCATTTTGTTTTCTTGGTGAGCTCTCTTATCAATAAAGTTGTACAATTTTATTAGAGCGAATGCTCCTTGTTAAACAGGAGAACTATTCTTAAGTTGATGTGGGATTAAGAGTCTCTTTCATGCGTCATTGCAGCATTCTCACTGGGCGCAAAAGGAAGTGTTTCCGTGTCTCCATTCGATCCTCAAGAGCTGTGCTGCTGTTGGTATTAACGGTCCGTCCATCAGCCCGACGATACGACGGGATTTCGTGCTGGTTGCTGGCGTGGCCACCCATAAATTAAATTTTACCAAACAGCTTTCATAGTAAAAACTTACTACTAGTAGTAGTTTGGCACTTTTTAATACTGGTTGACCGTACGTATGACCCTCTTCTTTAGAAATCTTCTTCTACTGTACTCTATCAATCTCTGATCTGTAAGGTCTCAGTGACCGTTGGCAGGTCTCAGGTGGTTCCCCCCCCCCTTTTTCCTTTGACCACTGTGACCTCTTCCGAACTCCAAGCTGTGCCAAAGAAATCACCACTCGTGGTCAGAGCTTGAACAGTTCAGTCAACAGCACAGCAGCACAAGTAAGACGCTTCAACCAAGGAGCGACGATATCCAATCATCAGTCGGTACTAGTAGCGTAGAGCTGGGAAAGCAATTGCCTAAAGCAAGAAGACTGGCGGAAAGAAGCAGTCGCTTGATTATCAATCAAGGCAGTAGAGGTTCACAATTTGCTTGGACCAAGGGTCTTCTGGTAGAAGGAGGGACATTCTCAGTCCGCACCCTCATTCTCGATTCGATTCCTTCAACCTTCAAATTCTCCAAGTTCAGTGCCAAGAAAGGCAACCTGTGCATTATCTATACATTCCATTGAGTGAAAACACAACTAACTGGACTTTAGCTGGTTGCGTTGCATTGCATTTGATTGAATTGAATTGAAGTTGATTAATAAGACCTTAGCAAGATGGACATTCCCTCTGCTGCATTCGAAGACGAGTTCGAGGATGATTCCTCGAGGGGAGGCTCCTCACACTATTCGGGCTACTCTGAGGAGACGTCGCGAAAGTCTATTCGTACAACAGGGGATACCTCTTCGTCCGATAACATTTCTCAAGAGGGCAAGAATGCCGTTGTCGGGTCCAAGTTGCTCGTCTTGTTAATCCTGGCCGTTGCCGCTGCGGGAGTGGGGTATGCTACCTTTCGTTCTACCGCCGCTCAGGAACAGACCGTCTTTGAGACTCAGGTACGTTGGGACTGCCTAGCGAGCTTGCGAGATGGACGCGTTATCTTACCTCATCTTCTTGTGTGTTTGTTGGGTATATACCCCTTGCTTGCTTACTTGCTGCCAACAGTTTCATGACTACAGCTATGAACTAACGACCATTGTTCATCAGGAAACCAAGGCGATCTTCTTATCTCTAGAGAACTTTGTCAGCACTGTCACTTCCTACTCACTCGACGAGGGTGCCCAGTGGCCCTTTGTGACAGTCCCACACTTTGAAGTCAGAGGGACCACTGCCAACGAACTTTCCGGTGCTACCATTCTCGCCATGTCGCCCATTGTGCCTCTCCTTCAACGAGAAGCGTGGGAAGATTATGCCACTGCCAATCAGGAGTGGATCCAAGAGGGCTTAGAGATCCATCCAGACTGGCACGAATATGCCACTGACGTAGAGGGATACGAGCTCAAGAACATTACCTATCCCATTTGGCGCTATGCCGTCGACGGACAAATGGTGCCAGACCTGGGGAAGGGTCCGTACCTTCCCGTCTGGCAAATGGCCACTGCTCCGCACGACCCCGCCATTGTCAACTACAACCTGCTGGATCACCCGGTCTTTGCACGGGTATTTAGTGGCATGCAACAAACCGATCTACCCGTACTGTCCGAAGTCACGGATCTAGAGTTCTTCTACGGAGGGGCCGTTGAAGATGACGCCAACCATCCACATAGCTTCATCCTCTATCCCATTCATCAAACATTCTCGGAAGTTGTCGAACACAACCTCATTGAACTTCTCGGAGGAAACACGACGGCTGACAACAACACCGCCACAACACCAGAAGAACTCACCCAAGAGGACAATCCCATTGTGGCTGCCGCCACTGCGGTCTTGGCATGGGATAAGTACTTTAGCTACATCATGCCGGAAGATGCAATTGGCCTTGTGATTGTTGTAAAGGATACTTGCGGTGACGAATTCACGTATCAAGTCGATGGTCCAACTGCTACCTTCCTCGGCAACGGGGACCTACACGACCCCAATTACAACTACCTCGAACAAACATCTCCCTTTGTCCCCTTTATCCAGTGGAACTTTACCGCTGAGACCCACGAACACTGTGAATACCACATGTACATTTATCCCTCCGAAACCCTCCATGACAAGTATCTTACCTCCAAACCAGCAATGTACACCGCAGTCGTCGTCTTGGTCTTTGTCCTCACCACCATGGTCTTTGTCATGTACGACTTTTTCGTCCAGCTACGAAACAGAAAGGTCGTCGCCAAAGCCAAACGATCCAATGCCATTGTGTCGGCACTCTTCCCCAAAAACGTGCGCGATCGAATCATGAAGGAAGCCGAAGAACAGGTCGAAGCCGAACTGGCCGCCAACAAAAAGGGACGCAGTCGCTTTGCCGCACCCAAAACACAACTCAAGAGCTTTTTGTCGGATGGACAAAAGGAAAAGGACGATCAGCAACAGCAAGGTGTCACGGCATTTGGTGGCAAACCCATTGCCGATTTGTTCCCCTCGGCCACCGTCATGTTTGCCGATATCTCCGGATTCACTGCCTGGAGTTCGGTCCGAGAACCCACTCAGGTCTTTCAGTTGCTCGAAACCTTGTACAATGCGTTTGACGAAATCGCCGGGCGGAGGCGTGTCTTCAAGGTCGAAACGGTAAGCCGCAACCTGAGCGCGCTCTTCTTGTCTGGTTTGAAAGTCGCATCGATTGTTTCTCACAGCGCGCCCTGTGTCTCGACTCCTCGATGTCGTCTTTTTGTCTATTCCTAACAGATTGGAGGTAAGCACAGCTAGCCAGGCTTGTATCGATGACGACCTAGGAGCAATGATTCTAAACCGTCCTTCTTTCGGTGACGACCTATGGTTCGAAATCCTAACCCCCGGTTCTGTCCTTAGATTGTTACGTTGCCGTCGCCGGATTGCCCGAACCCCGAAAAGACCATGCTGGTAAGCATTTCGAGGTTTGACTCTATTGTTAGCTGACCTATCCCACAATCTTCACTGACATTTATCTTTCTTCTTATAGTCGTTATGGCACGATTCGCTCGCGATTGTATTGGGCGTATGAATGATTTGACCAAGTTGTTGGAAGTGTCGCTTGGACCAGACACCGGGGACCTTGCTATTCGTGTCGGTATGCACTCGGTGAGTACTGCATGCTAGCTAGTGACGCAGTTGCATTGCGCTTTACAGTATTTGAAAACTAACTGCAAGTGTTTGGTTGTATCCACTGAAAACAGGGGCCTGTGACGGTAAGGACCATTCCAAACCTATTCAAGGGCAGCTGTCCTTGGTTTGCTTTCATCTCACTGTGTCGATTCGACTTCACTCTTTTTTTCTCTCAGGCTGGAGTACTCCGTGGTGAAAAGGCTAGGTTCCAGGTACGTCCCTATATCAGCAGGATACAAGAATGTGTGTGCGGGTGTTTTCCAGTGCTGAAGTGTCCTCACTCTGTCTTGTCTTGCACGCAGCTGTTTGGAGATACAGTGAACACTGCCTCTCGTATGGAGTCCAATGGCATTCGGAACAAGATCCATATATCTGGCGAAACAGCCGATCACCTGAAGGCTGCAGGCAAGATGCACTGGCTTGTCCCACGCGAGGAGAAGATTGTTGCAAAAGGCAAGGGTGAAATGCAAACTTACTGGCTGGAAGTCAAGATGCAGTCTTCAGGTTCGGCTACCTCCAAGAGCACAGAAAGCAGCGACCATGAAATGGAAAACATGGATGCCAGTCAGAAGTGCATGGCCATCAAGGAGAACTTGTCGCGTGAGAATGCTCCTGTAATCAGGCAAAAGCTCTCGCCCAAGGCTCATCGTCTTGTCAAGTGGAATGTAGAGATCATTTCTCGCTTGCTCAAACAAGTTGTTAGTCGACGCAATGAGCTTACGAAGCTTCAGAAACGAAGAGCCCCCAGCATGGACTTCAGAGTGGAAACTAGCAGGGAGGATGGAACCACTGTCATCGACGAGGTCAAGGAAATCATCGAGTTGCCCGAATTCGATGCCAAGGCTGCCAGGGACCAGCAGGATCCTCAAACGATTCAACTGGACCCGAAGGTTGAATCACAGCTCTTGGACTACATCTCACTGATTGCCAGCATGTACCGAGAAGTGCCATTCCACAACTTTGAGGTGAGCCAACACAAGATCGGAGATGCATGTCGATGTTTGTCCGTTGCCATTGTCGTAACTGACCCTGCCTTTCTGCATTTTCTGTTGCGCACAGCATGCTTCGCATGTCACAATGAGCGGTACGTCAGACAGTTTGAACGCGGATCATTCTTTCACGGTAACTTAGTTTTTCTAACTCTTGTCTGGCCGTTTCTTTCTTCTGCTTCAGTCACCAAGCTACTCAGTAGGATCATTGCCCCTGATGATGTTGTAGCCGGCGAGGAAGACAACGATGAGAAGATGGACAAGAATCTTCATGGTATGTCCTCTTTAGCCAACGAAACGATTGATTGCAAACCATTCAATAACTCACTTGGCGCTCACACGACACAATCGTTTTCGTCCTACTCCCTTCAGATCACACGTACGGTATCACGAGTGACCCGTTGACCCAGCTGGCGACGATCTTCTCTGCCCTCATTCATGATGTGGATCACACGGGGGTACCCAATGCACAACTGGTCAAGGAAGGTGTTGAGATTGCCGACATCTACAAGGGCAAGAGTGTTGCAGAACAAAACTCCATAGGTATGTTCCAGATTTGCAGTGTTGTTTATTGGTCACCTAGCAACCGTCGGTGTGCACAACTGACCGACTTTCCGCTTGCTGCTTCAGATATTGCGTGGGAGTTGCTTATGGACCCGTCCTTCGAGGAATTGCGGCATACAATCTATGGCACTGCAGAGGAAAAGAAGCGTTTCCGACAGGTACGCCCAACGTGCAGCTTTGTTGACACCCTGAATGAATGATGTAGACTGTTGCTAACGACCAAGCTGTCTTCTTTTGGCATTTCCAGCTTTTGGTAAACGTCGTGCTTGCTACGGATATCGTGGATAAAGAGCTCAAGGAACTACGCAACAACCGATGGGACAAGGCGTTCAAGGGCGACGATTCCGGCAAGCCGACAGCGCTGATGAGTCGAGAAGAAGTCAACCGTAAAGCCACCATTGTTTTGGAGCACATCATCCAAGCATCGGACATCTCGCACACAATGCAACATTGGCATGTGTACAGGAAATGGTACGTCAGGAGAACTGTGTTCATTCCCTATTTGCGCAACTCCTTTCCTAAACGTGGTTCCCTCTACCTTCCATGGTGAACAGGAACGAGCGCTTCTTTGATGAAAACATGAAAGCCTATAAGGAAGGTCGAATGGAGAAGGACCCGTCCGAATTCTGGTATAAGGGAGAGATTGGTTTCTTTGACTTTTACAGTAAGTTTCGTTCTAGTTGGTGCCTATGATCTTGCTAGCTTTTCAAGCAGCCATCTCACTTTGCCTTTCGTTGTTGCTTTGCTTTGCAGTCATCCCTTTGGCCAAGAAGCTGAAGGAATGTGGCGTGTTTGGTGTGTCTTCAGATGAGTATCTGAACTACGCCACTCAAAATCGCAGGGAATGGGAGCTGCGTGGGGAAGAGGTTTTGGCTGAAATGATGCAAAAATATCAGCAATAAAGAGCGGAGCGGCTTCGACTGAACATACTGTGAATATCCGGGGATTTGTTGATTGCATTGATTAAATTTTGCTACTGCACGCATCCTGTAAAGAAATAAATGGTGATAGATTTGACAACTCTTCCCTGTGTCTCTGTCGGTTGGTCGGCTGCATGGCTAGCATGCCGTGGGATAGTCGACTAGATACTTGCTAGTAGGCACGTAGACAGGGAGGTTTAATGCGCCCTATTTAGGCCGGTACCAGGCACCTGGGTTGCTTGGGTTCCGGACTGATGATCTGGTATGGTTTGCCAACTAGCTAGAGCCCACGTACGGTACAAGCATGCATAGCTTTGATACCAGTACCCATTGTGGTGCTACAGCACCAGTAGGGGAAGGGTGGTCTGTCACTCACAAATTTTCACTTCTAAAGGCTGAGTGCGCGTAAATCCACTTAGACTAAGTGTAACACTTAGCCTAAGCAAAACACATAAAAGGAGCTGAAAAGGGGTGATAGGCAGTGATCTGATTGGTCGATGAGTTCCGAAGAACAACAAATACGTCAGGAAGTATTCAAAAATATATAACGTACCGTTCTAAGTATTTACAGGGGAAACTGTGCTACCAAGTGCGACTTTTCGATGTTGTTTCGTTCGAAAAGAAAGATTCCATCGGAGCCTGTCAATCGACAATGACATTCTGCCGCTGTCATTGCCGCTCACTCGACAGTCATTATCTCGGCAACTCGACAGCCACTCAACTCGACAGACATGGAGCCACCAACAGCAGCAGCAGCAACCACAACAACACAAAATGAAGGAATGGGCGGCCAGAGCCAGAATCGAAATCCACAACAGAAGAGAGCATTCAAACTCGCCAGCAACAACAACCCAAGATCATCAAAGAGAGCGAGAGAAGAAGGAGCCCAAACACACTGAGGAGGGATAGCAGAAGTTTTGATCCACTCAGAATGTCATCTGTAGGCCAGAATCTTGGTTTCAGAGTCCCAAAGAGACACACTCTGCTTCTGATTAAGAATACAATAACAAAACAAGGACCTTTGAATGCGCTGACAATGGAGACAATCAAAGAAAGCAGAGACTCACAAGGCAATTCAGTGCTCCCTTCCACTGAATAGAAGAGAAGCTGGAGGCATTCACAAGAGAAAATGGAGAAGCTTTCTTTGCTCCAGAACAAATACAGCCAAAGCCACAGCCACAGCCAAAGGAATTCAACAAAAGTACAAGGCAATGCTACTCCAGCTGTGTTCTGTGAGAAAGTCAGCTCTTGTAGAGGATGCACCTTTGTGGAAACACAAGACCAAAAATAGCTCCCCTGGCAACATAGCTATGGCAGAAGCAGTGTCTGAGTCGATCACCAGATCCAAGAACAAGGATTCAATCAACACTTCGAAGGACTCACCATGACAGCCCAGCCACAAAACAATTCAGTCTCCCCACTATCACTCAATTGTTGGCCAGAAACTTCCTATGTGGACTGGAATCAATGTGATCACTGTACCTTGTCCATGGAAGATGCTCTGGCAAACTCACAATGACAGAAGCCACGTCAGGAACAAACTCTGTTTCCCATCTTTGGCATTGCTGGACCTCCATCTGGTGCATGTCATGTCCATGGTCTGCAGCTGCTCAAGAGAATTTGATCCAACCAAGCAGAGGTCCTGGTGTCCAATCCCAAGACACTCCTTGCTTATCCAGTGGAATCAAAGTATGCCTTTGCTAAGAAGGACTATCACCTAGACAGAACAGCAACTGAAGTGTTTGCGTCTATAATGGTTACATATGGTAATGGTGACCTCTGCAGTCGGCTCCTCTACAACGCAATGAACAGAGAGTATCTGAGAGCCATGATGTCATACTTTCATATGGCAAGGAAGTGAGAGGGATCCTCCACCATTCCTTCCAAAGATGGGACTTACATCAAGCAATACCCTCCTCTTGGTGACACAATCCGTGACTGTTCGATAAGGCTGCTGCCCAACAGAAACCATGGAGGATCAGTGACAACAGGCACACTAGAGAGATTCAAAGTGTCAGTTGCAACAAGGGTATCTTCTGCCAAGACATACCTTCCAGCCAGTCAAGAACTACATGAAGAGAGAGTTGGAGCAGTCGCTGTTTGGGATGCTGCACGAGACTGGAGAGATTGCTTCTGCAGTTCTGGTTCCCACCACCAAAACATCCACTTCTCCCATGCAGCCATGCAGCTAGCAAGAGGAGCCACTTCAATCCGTTCCATGTACAGTGACACCTGCCCAACAAGGATGACTACTGGGGGATACTCTTTCCAGATAGGGAAGACTTGGCCTGTTCCATTATGAGAAAAGATCCTGTCAACTTTGAGGAAGGGCCACATTGATCACTTAAGCATGACAGCCTTGGATTGCCTGTATGAGTACTTACCAGAAGACTTTGAGAAGTTTCTCTATGCTCTGAAACATGTCTCCTATCAGCTGATGGCAAAACTATTCCATGGTGGAGATACAGACATGCAAGCCTCCAAGGTCTTCCGTCAAAGATACTCCAAATTCCTAAGGAAGAAGATGAGAGAACCAGAAACAAGAGACAGAGGATTCAACAGGGTTCTGCAGGTACAAGGTCACTGCAGTGAGGGCAGCCACCAGGCCAAGAAGGCTGGATCCATCAAGAACTTACCTTGTTCACTCCAACACCAAACCAGCATAGACAACTGCATTGAGAAAGCAATCCACTTGCTGATCCACTACCAATGGACAAATGTATGATACAATCCACCATCTCCCAACTCCAAGCACAAAGCTTCAAGAGTACCTATCAAGGAGAGAGAATCAAGTTAGAAGCTTCCAGACAAGTTTGCCCACTTGGATGGGGTATGAGAAGCCTTGCTGATCACTCAACCTTGCTGGACTGCAAGATACAACCTCAAGATTCGCCACAAAAGAGCCTTCCTGTCAAGATCAGCGAGAGAAAGAAGTCAATTCCACTGGATGGGAAAAGGTTGGTCCATACTTGGAACCATTCAAAGTTGGCTTACCTAATGAAATGGCACAAGCTGTTGGTCTACACAAGCCATTTCCAAATGAGAGCCATTGCCAAGGACACTGGAGAGAGTTCTTTTCAGATACATTGTTGGTTTCAAACCTCACAGGCAGAAGTACTCACCAAATGATTGTTCTTGTGTAGATTGTGCACCAGCCAGTTGAAGCTTCACAACACAACCGGTTCCACAACCTCCACCCAACAAGTTCCAACAACCACAACCACAACCGGTTCCACAGCTCCAACCTCCACCACCAATCCACCTCCACAAGCAGCTCCTCCTGAAGCACAAACAAGAAATTCTAACATTGGTAAACCTGATTCTCAAGCAACACACCAGATTCAAATGATGCAACTTGCCTAACAGCAGCAATTCCAACCAATACTGCCACTCCTTTCCAGCCACCTCCACCAAGGCTGCTGTCAGCGTACTGCCAGTTGGTTGACACAGGAAGGAAAGACCACCACATGATGCTATTGCCAAGCTCGATGGAGTGCATCACAGGCTGGGTAGCTACAAAGAGTAAATATTTAGATCTACCAATTTGATTTCTAGTTTAGACATCAACTTACATAAATTTTCCACAATGTACAGCATTGTGTGGTTGCAAGAATCCAAGGTTGTGAGAGTCTTCAATGCAATCATCTACAAAACTCTGACTCATGGAAACAAAACCTGAAAGGAAAATTTGTTGTTGTAGTCATACCATGGCAACAATACCCATGCCAAGATCCATCAATATCTGTCCTTCATTGGAGTAAAGTCATAGCTGCTATCAATAATCATTTCCCTCACTAACCCATAGATGCACTCAATGAAAATGTCCTCCTTCCAGGGCTGGTCCCCAACATTTCATAAAGGGTGGAGAGAACAGTACTGTACCATTTGGGGCTCTTCTGAAGTCCCAATTCATACATGTAGTCCATGATGCCTGTCATATCAGGAGGAAGGGCTTGCATCCTCCTTGCAAGATCATCTTCTCAAAATGTGCCATGCAAATTCCATCGGGCGAGCACAATGAAATTGGTTGTTGGCGAATCTCGCATCTGATACTGTCCTTCAAAATCACATACTTGCAGGTGATCCATGCCTTGTTGCCTCAGCTCATTCAAGGGTAGCTGACTAAGTAGCCACTTGAGAAGAAGGACTTGTAGCGATCCTCATTGTCGTAGAGGAAGGAGCGTCCGTAGAGCCAAGGGAAGTAGTAGTGTTGTTGTTTTGCCAGAGTCTTGCCCCTACCACGTAGTCGCTGACTTCAAACAATAAAATCGATGTATTGTGGAGGACAGGCGTCGTAGCGGCGTCGGTAGAGGAAGGATCGTCCGTAGAGGAAGGATCGTCCGTAAGGAAGTGCCGAGAGGAAGATCACGTCGTAGAGAAGAGTCGTAGAAAGGACACGTTCGAACGATTAGTAGCATGCCATTGTTGACATTGTCGATACAAAAACAACACATCATTGTCGACCATTAACTTGCTACTCACAACAACAACAAAAATGCACAACGACGTTCGATTCTTTATCCGTGTAGAAGGAGCTACCTTGTAGAAGGAGATACTGTAGAAAAGATAGAACGACGGCAGATAAATTAGTAGCATGCCATTGTTGACATTGTCGATACAAAGAACAAAACATCATTGTCGACCATTAATCTTGCTTACCTGACAACAACAACAACAAAAATCACCACCAATTTTCGAAAATGGGAGTCTTCTTCGAGCGAAGATAGGGAAAAGAGCCAGTCAGTTATCCGTTGCACCAATTTGAATTTTGAGAGCAAGTGCGATACCAAGGCATCAACGTACCTCCATTTGACGTCTTTCATGACGTTATATGTGTTCTTCGGACGTCTCACCTCGTCTTACCTAGGGGGGATGACCGGTCATTGACCAATCCCTCCTTTCTATAAGTATTTGATCCTGTCAGTTTGGTTCCGGTTGGATCTGCATGCTCGCGATTCGGAATCAGGAATCCAGCCGTTAACCCTCTCCCTTTCTTTTCTTCTTTTCCCTCCCCCGCGCTGCTGCCTAACCCCCCCATAATCTCCTAAGGAGCAATACACTTGGGCTAAGCAATACACTTAGGCTAAGTAATGCTCTCCGATGCATCTTCTCAACAGCACAAGTTCAGCACAAGTCCCTACAGCTTCCTGTAA